GTTCCCAAATGCCGGCAGTGCTGAGACAGAAGGGGGGGGGGGTTGTAAAAGCTCATTTTCCCAGGTTGTAAAAGGAAAATTGGACTTCATGGCTTCAATGTCATTGATGGATTTTGTGTATGCTTTCTAAAGATAATTTTAAGTGTTTGTGTTTTTTAAATTGACTCACAGTAAATTCATATAGTGCAAATCTTTTTTATATATACTTAGAAGTTTTTTTTTAATGTTTATTTAGTTTTGAGAGAGAGCACAAGCAAGGGAGGGGCAGAGACACACACACACACACACAGAACCTGAAGCAGGCTCCAGGCTTGGAGCTGTCAGCACAGAGCCTGACGCAGGGCTCAAACCCATGAACTGTGAGATCGTGACCTGAGCGGAAGTCGGACGCTTAACCGACTGGGCCACCCAGGTGCACCCATATAGTAGAAATCTTAATCCTTATCCTGCTCACCCCTGGCTACAGAATTCTCCCCAGAAGCAACCATGCCTGATCTGTTTCTTGGGTGTCCTTTTTGAGCTGGTTTGTGCATATGTGTGTGTATGTATCAGGGTTGTTTTTAACTACTACCTTAAAAAAAAAAAAATTAATGTTTATTTTGGAGAGAGAGAGAGCTAGAGCATGAGCCGGGGAGGGGCAGAGAGAGGGAGACACAGAGTTCGAAGCAGGCTCTAAGCTTTTAACACGCTGGGCTCAAACTCATGAACTGTGAGATCATGACTTGAGCCGAAGTCAGATGCTTACCCACCTGAGCCACCCAGGCGCCCCAACTACTACCTGGTTTTGATTACGACTCAATTCCTGTCCACCTAGAAAAAGCCATCCAAAATAGAAGTAGGTAATGTAGAAAAGAAAGGTCTGTAATTGGGCCCCAGCCCTGCCCTGTACCCCTCACCTATAATACTGTCAGTTGAACTGGGGGAGTCTTGTCGATGAGAGCCTCACGGCTTGAAACCCTTTCAGAGAGAAAGCCGGGCTGTTGCCTGGAGCGCCAGACCAGAGGGCTGGGGGTGGATTCCAAGCCTCCTGGAGCAGGTCAGTCACATGACCAGGACCTAGGCCATAGCTTCCAGAAATAGACAAGACAGATGTTGAGGAGGGAGAACCTCCAGGCCTCCACCTGACTTGGACAAGATTCTGCCAAAGAAGAGAAAGGAAATGGAACTCATTTCCTGCACTTGGTCTCCTTAGGGAGGCCAGGGAGCTAGAAGGAGGAAACAGCCACTCTACCAGGCAGTGGGTCACAGGCCCTGGTATGTGCCCCATCCCAAAGGCCTGGCCACACCCAGAGGCCACGTCTGGGAGTGGCCTCACAGTGCAGAGTCCGAATCTAGACATGAGGCTGCTGCTTCACTCAGAGCTGGAACGTTCCCTTGGATCAACTTTACTGGGAACTGATAAGCTGGTCGGTCTGCGGGTACTGATTTGCCTCTTCAAGTATTTGTGGCAAGATTTGACCATGCTTATAAAGCAGTGCTGTGTAGTAGAAATATAATGTGAGCCACAAATCCAACTGCAGAGAAAAACTATTGTTTTCCTTTTTATTCTACATGATACTCCACTTCTGATCACCAAGCCACACAAAGCAATTCTCCAATTCTCGGTAGACACCAAAAGTGTATCCTACAAATGTGACTCAATTCTACACGATCTACCTGGAGATGGCATCAGAGTCCACAGGTTAGGGGCTCAGTGTTGTTACCGACTGTCCCCCGCACACACCCCCATTTAAACACCAATCACCCATGCAAATTGTCACCTAAGCTGCTGACTGACCAGTTATAAATTGGAGATTTCCACAACCCTATCCCGTGTTCGGTTAACTTGCAAGAATGGCTCACGGATTTTGGGAAAACACTTCACCTCCTAGATTATTGGTTTATTATAAAAGATTGCAGTTTTGGGGGTGCCTGGGTGGCTCAGTTGGTTAAGTGCCCGACTTCAGCTCAGGTCATGATCTCGAGGTTTGTGAGTTCAAGTCTGCTGTGCTGACAGCTCAGAGCCTGGAGCCTGCTTCAGATTCTGTGTTTCCCTCTCTCTCTGCCCCTCCCCTGCTCATGCTCTGTCTCTCTTTCGAAAATAAATAAGCACTAAAAAAGTTTTTTTAAAAAAAGCAAAATAGTCAATCTTTAAAAAAAAAAAAAAAAAAGATTGCAGTTTTGAAACAGCCGGATAGAAGAGATGCGTAGGGCCAGGTATGTGGGATGGGGCAAGGAACTCTCACCATCTCTCTGGGCCCACCACCCTCCCTATATCTCTACGTGTTCACCAAGCCGGAAAGCTTTGCTACCCTCATCCTTCAGGGATTTTTATGGAGGCTTCATTGCATAGGCACGATTGATTAAACCACTGGCCATTTCTGATCAAGTCAATCTTCAGTCCTCTCTCCTCCCAGGAGGTTGAGTGAGAATGTTACCCAAGGGAGTATGTTTGCTTCTTAGTGGGTGTCAAGCTAAAAGACACAACTAAGCCAAAGAATAGGAAAATGAAGGGGTTTATGTGCAACAAGTAAGGAGAACACTGGGGACATGACCCAAAGCAGTGTCTCCCCAACAGCAAAATTAGGGAAGTTTTAAGGTAAAGGTACATACATATTCATGAAGGGGCTTGTGCTGTGGAGAATACAGCATGGGATTGGGCTGGATAGGGTAAGGGTCTTCAATTCTCTGGTCCATATCTGAGTGCTCAAAGGGCATTTTGAGATAATTCAGTGTGCATCAGGTCAGTCTTTGGAATCAGCACTGGGAGTTTTATTGCTGATTATTGTCTTGATATGATTAAGCTATCTCCAAGCCTGAGAGTGGCTGTTTGTTCTTACATTCTTTAACAAAATGCCTCTGGGGCCTAAAATGACTTTTCTTACATCAAGAAAGCTATGTCTGTCTTTCTTTTTTCTAGGAGCTCTTTACTCTTTCTGTTTATAAAATCTGCCCTCCCTACACTTGAGATATTGCATTCCTCATTCTTTTTTTTTTTTTTTTTTTTTTTTTTTTTAGTTTTCTCAAATGTTTCTTTTTTTTTTAAATTAAAAAAAATTTTTTTTAACGTTTATTTATTTTTGAGACAGACAGAGACAGAGCATGAACAGGGGAGGGTCAGAGAGAGGGAGACACAGAATCTGAAACACGCTCCAGGCTCTGAGCTGTCAGCACAGAGCCCAACGCGGGGCTCGAACTCACGGACCGTGAAACCGTGACCTGAGCCGAAGTCGG